TAAATAATAAATTTATAATATGTATTAATAATAATTTAGAGTAGATTAGAGAATAAAATGATTAAAATATAAAAAAATTATTATCTAATAGAAGCATGTATATGGAGATGGATCCAACAAATTTTCTCTCTCTATAACTTTCTCTATAATGGAATACTTTTCCTCTATAACTTTCTCTATAATCGAATACGCGCCGGTTTAAGATGGTAAATAAAGGACACAGTTTCTATGCTGCCAAGTCTGCATATGTAAAAAATGCGGGCTTTTTAATAAATCTATTTTTGAGATGGATTTTAATACTTAATTTTTAAGGACATGTAATCCCTAACAAAAAAAGATCGTGAAAATGAAAAATAATTAAAATTTAAAAACTAAAAATAATAATTCTAATAAGAAAATATTTGAACAGTTAGTTTTCATTATAATTTTCTTTTAATGATTTATATTTAGTATTCTTGCATCATACGTACATGTCACTAATACGCAATAAAGGGCAATATAGAAGTTTTTGGTGTACACCAATAGTAAATGATGCTGTTCGTGGGCTATCTTCACCTTACATTCTCTCAGTGGACGATCGATGCCCTGTCGTTTACCTTCCTATCTACGTTTACAGGAGGAAAATAAACGGCGTCCGTCGTTATCATCATAAGACGCCGTCAGCTCCCGCGGCCTGTTTTAACGAGAAGTGGAGGAAGGCGGGAAAACGTACCCTCAAATATTCCCCAATATCTCTCCCTCTCCTCTCAATTCTCAAGAGTGAGTGAGGGCTCGTAAATAAAAATCATGGGCCATGGCGGTTTCAATTCCTCAGAAATCCTCAACGAAATCCAAACCCTAATTTCAGATCGGCTCCAAGTGGTAAACTCTAGAAACCTCATTTATCCAACGTTTACTTATTCCACAGCAATTATTATTGGTATTTTTCATATTTCTTTTGATCGTAAGAATTGGTATTTATGTAATCAATTTAGAATCCTCATCTTTGAAGCTGCGATTTTTTATCTCTCTGTTTCAATCCCATCCAAGAGACCAAAGGCAGCGAAAAGATGCATAAATTTCCGTATGATTTGATACTCTATCAATTGATTATTTCAATTGTTGGTCGGAGTTGAAAGTAAACCTTTTGTGGAATGCCATCTGCAGTTGTTGTATCTGTTTCCTTGCTGATTCATTTTTTTTTTAATATTTATCCATCTTATTGTGCTGTTCCCTGGAGTTCCCAACCTAGGGTTAGTTTCTCTTTGTTTTGAGTTTGATTGTGGTAGGTATTTTCTTACCTTTTTTATCTTGGAGGAAAATCTGTACCAGTATAAAATTCATGAACAAGACTGAGCAGCAATTTAATTTTCAGATTCTGTTTTCCAGAATGCCATTCATTTTTGGCAAGCATGGAAACAAATAATCTCTATCTGCATATACATTCCTTAGACCTCAAATTCTGCTACTGTATGTTTTGTTGGCTATGTGGCCTTTTAAGGCCTTCAAGCCAAGAGTTTTATGAATCAGTGGGAGTTAGAGAGAGACTGAATCTGAGTGCTTGGTGCACTGGGGCCTAGATTCATATACCCCGAGTATTTGAGGCATTGAGAGTATACGTTTTGAGAGTGTGAACTCTCCGAGAGGTGTAAGGTTCACCTCCTAGTCAGGATTATATTGATTAGAATGTCTCATAGTTGATGTGATAAGCCTGGGCTTGGAGAATCCAATCGAGAATAATAGAACCCGAGTATTTAAAAGAGTATTCGTCATGTATGGAATGGTTGGCTCATGGGACATGAGCCCGTATCCCGACACGAGACCGTTCCATGGCATGTGTACTTATAGTCGTATGGAGAAGCCACTTTTTTATATTATTATCAGACTTAAAAGAGCTAGTGTACATGTGCTTTGAGAGGACCCATGTATTTGAGTAGGAACACGTCCCATAGGGGTGCACCAGTAATCCATTGAACCCTCATGACGGGAAGCTCTGGCTCAACGACTTTGATGTGATCAATTATGTGTCCCTGCTATAGATTGTGGAGCATAGGTCCATTGGGTCGGCTTGAAACACCTGTGGAATGTCATTCGGGTTAGCCCAATGGAAGACTCCGACTAGTGTTATAAGTCTAGAGGTCTCATTTACCTTTGGCCCAAATTGATCTAAAATTGATGAGAAAAGATTTTATATTGATGAGAAATTGTGTAATAATGTTGATAAATCATTTCGAGAATTTTTGGGATTTTTGAAGAATTTTCAGATTTTTTTAAACAATTAAAAGTGTGATTTTTAAATTTGTTTAACATAAATACCAAGCAAGGACATCCTATGGGGATGACACATAGATCCCAAGTGGCCATAGGGATGCCACGTGGCACCCCCACCTCCCCACTCGTGGATGACATCATGCTGATATCATATCCATATGGGGACCTATTTGTCATTAGTGTTTTTGTTGGTATTATGTTATAACATGTTATCTTGTTATTTTAAAGTGTTATATATGGTTATGACTTAAATTTAATTTAAGCCACATGGTTTTTTTTGCTCATATGTGCCATTTTTATCATTTGTGAAGTCATGGGATTTTGAGAATTAATTTAATTCATATTATTATCCACATATGATTTTGTAGCATGTAGGTATATCTTATATGGCACCACCTTATGGGCTTGACCCATGTGAAACTTTAGTGTTGTTAAAATCGTATTGGTGGTGTCATAAGATATTTTATTCACATGTGTGGATGTCCCATATTACCTTTATGTCCATGTCCTTGTATTTTATTGACTCACAAATTATTCAAAAACCATGGGCATAAGTGTAAATATGAATTTGGACTTAATGGGAAATAAAACATGAAGCTAAGTGTTGCAAGGTAAAATGACTATAAACTTAGGTTTTAAGGAGTGAAGGATGTCAAAAACTCATCAATTGATCTTGGTGATAAAATATGGCTGAGCGGCTTGGATAAAAGCCTCTCATGTGCCATTGATCTAAGGCATCAAGGATCAAGATCAAATCCATCTTTATGATCTAAGTATAAAAGTAACTTATGGGATCAATTATAACCCTAACTTGAGTATTCACTTCAGAGAGAGAGAGAGAGAGAGCCCTCGACAAAAATGTGGACCCATGAGATTATCTTTTTCCTTGAGCTTTCATTTGAAACCCTTTATGGAGTAGTCCCTCATTTATGTGATTAAGCCCATATTATTGCTTCATTAAGGTATTGATTTTTTTTCGTATATTTTTAATTCCTATCTCATTTCCATTATTAAAGTTTGTTGTAATCCTTAATTTACAGTAGATTTCTTCATTTTTTGTCATGAAAACGTGATATTTGAAGAGTCCCAAAGCAATAGTATAGTCCATACACATGGTATGTGTAGACTACCTTTCTTATTCCATGATCTTGAGTAGTTTCAACTTGATTTTCTTGATCTTATTTTTTTGGAATTTTTACTGAGAATATACAACTGATGAGAGGTTTATTTCATCATATTTGAGCATATGAAATAGTCTCTTGAGTTCCTTTTTTAATGTTGAAAGTTCATGTGGTCCCTTATAGACCACATGGTGTAGTTTCACCGTAACTTCCTTATTTTGTGTAGTATCTTTCTCAAACTTTGAAGGGCTATTTTGATACATGTCTCTCTCATAATTTGATCCCCATTAAGTGAAATAAAAATGATCATTTGATTCCTATTGGATTGATCCTTGAGTTATTATTATCACCCGTGCCTTAGACAATGGGACAAAATTAAGTTATCAAAGGGCCCTTTCGTGGCCTGGGCACAAGGGGTTCGAATCATGGTTTCCCTATGGATGTTTGCATGTTAATTTGATGTATTGACAGTTATTAAATAGATTCATGATTGGTTAAATTGAATATGTTGTGTGTATATTGAGATTGTTCTTTAATCTTGTAGTATGAACTTTAATGCTATGCATTACTATTTGTGCGAATTGAAATCTTATCGAATTATTATGTTCTAGTATATGATGTGTATGAGACATTATGATATATGATGAGGATGAAGAATGAAGATGAAATTATCATATAATTTTGATATAATGAGGAATTGCGAGTGCAAGGCATGCAATATGTTGTAGAGATGTACATTGTGAATATTTGAATATTGTATTGAGTTAATTGTATTTTTGAGTAAAGGATTTGTAATGGACCTATTAGGGTTGAATTTTATTATTCAAATGTGTATAAACCATGTAGGCTGGAATATATGTATTATAGTTTTGTATTGAGATAATCATGTATTTAAACCCTTGGGTTCTTATACAATGGAAATTTTTTAAAAGATTGCATTTCTAGCCCATTGGTCTTATACCACCAACATGTTTGTTCTTGTAAATTGAAGACTATGTTTTTATCTTTTGAACATTCAAGACTTATCCTTTCAGAAGAGCATGTATGCTCATTTATTTTTTAATATATTGGGGTATGCCCTTGTCCATTGCAGAGGGCTTCCTAAACTATAGCTTTGTCCCAACAATTTCATGATGTAGTGTGGTTATGTCTTTGATTTGTTTATTTTTTATTTTTTTATTAAAGGGACCATCTGTATTAGATTCTGAGTTCAGGAATGGATCCCTATTATATGGATTTGCCTGTGTATTCTCTATATCATTTTCAGTTAAATAGAAATTAGAGAATTACTCCTCCCTTGTATGTTGTTTTGTTTGATGTGCTTTTACCCAAGGACTCTGAGAATTGCCATCACCTTTATCCACCAAGTCATGAAATGCAAGGTCAGGTGGGATTTAATGGTGCTCTAAGGTTGAGGAAAGATAGGTCATGTCATAGAATCCTCAAGGCTTAAATATCTGCAAATATTGAAAATTAAATTGTAATACTAAGAAAATTATTATTCCCAAGACAATTATCGGTATAAAAATAGTAAAAACATATGGGAAACAGTAGTAATACTCATGTCTCTTCCAGTGCATAATGTTGTTGTTACCTATTAAATCAGGGCTATCAGTTTCCATTGTTTTGCTAGTGACAATTCTTCCGTGTTGTTGCAGTTGCTGACAGATTTAAGGAACTGCAACTTGTGATTAAATCATGAGACAATGAAATCTATGTCAAAATCATGGATAAATATTAAATCACAAAACAAAATATTTCAAAAGAAAGAGACCTGATAGATATAAATATTTAGATTCTGATGCTTGCATTATGAACTTTACAACACATGAATACTGTCAAATTGAGGTGTCATGCAATGCACTCACTGTCCTTGGATACTGGTTATTTGGGCCATTTTCATCATCGCTACACTTTTAACTTCCTGAGATGTCCTCTTCACAGGAAGATGACTCAATAACGCTCTTCCCCCCTTACCCTCCTTAGTATTAGGTGACTTCCTTTTTTGATATGTTCTTATAGTAATGAAATGTGGAATCTAGGATTAGATCCTTATTTGTCAACATTACAATGATTGTGTTTCAAACTTACTGGTGATTGGCTATGGGAGGAATATGGGCATATGGTGTGGGGCATTAGGTTCTTGGCCATTTGCAGCTTGAGGTTGTGCATTTGTTTGAACCCTTTGTCATCCTCTAAAGTAATTGAGTTAAGAATATCTTCAATAACCTTTGAAATCCTATATTAATGAATGCTGGGGAAAGCATCAAGCCATTATTTAACTGTAGACCATATACAATGAATATATACTTTCTGAAATTCATCCATAAAATGTTTTACGGGCTTATTTTTCCAAGGATTAATTAGACTATTCCAAGTTTAATCATCCTGTAAATAAAACACAATGCATGTTGGTCATTTGGTTCCACTAGGCTGAAAAATTCTAGATTGATAAAGACTCCTAAGATGTGATTGTGTGTAATTTGGACAAACAGGCAAACATGCAGTTATGTATAAGATGGACATGTGAATGTCTTGGAGGCATCTGTCATTTGGATTACTAAACTGAACAAAATTTGCTTGTTCTGTAAAATATTTTGAGTAAACTTAACTAGGTGTTGTAGGGAAAAAAATTTCTAGCCTACTAAATTTGGTGTTTTTATGTGCAAGAAGAATAGTAGTTTGACTGATTTGCTTGTAAAGCTTATAATTGTTTACCGACTTCCAATATCAAACTTTGCTGCCTCATTTGGTTCCTGGACTACTGATTTTAGATTATCCATTTTTTTCCTCAAGGGCATACTGACATTTCTGTCATGGTTGGATATTGCTTTCCTTTCTATGTTATTGAGATCTAGTATTGCCTTTCAGTTGTTACCTTTTTTATCACTTCTAATGGGCTTGACCCTCAAGGCTTGACCTTATCTTCTTCCATGGAAGGATGGAACATTTTAAACTTCTTTTTTCTCTCAGTTCAATGATTAAAATTTTTGATATGGTTTTACTATTCTTGTTCGGATTTGGAGTAGTTGAGTATGCTGATGTCCTTGATTATTTGATCATTTGTTTTAAGGAATGTAAGTTTTTATGTTTTTTTTAGAAACGATTTCCTTCTCAGGTATCATACAAGTGGCTTAGCCGCAATTTCTCTGTATCATCAAACATTGCTAAAAGGTAGACTATTGTGAGTCTGTTGATTCAATATTATATTTCTCGTCTAACACTTTTTAGATTTCATAATGGTGCTTGATATCTTGTCAACATGTGTAGACTGCTTCAAGAGTTTGTTGATTGTCATGGAGATGGGTTAGAAGTAATTTATGCGCTATCTGGGTGGTCAACCAGCAAACATCCATACTACTCCATAAGACTGGTGTCAAGGTTTAACCTTGATGGTATGATTCGCTAACGCAAACCTGGATCCTTTTTGAACTTAATATGTCTGCCATGCCATGTTGCAACATGAACAAATCCAAATTTTTAGATAAACTCATGTGAATATGATTATTGTTTAAAAAAATTGAGAAGGAAAAAAGTTATTGGGTCCAAATTTGCAAGGAACTCTTAGATCATGACTTAGCCTCTTAGAAGCCACATAGAGAGGTGTTTCACCATACCTAAGGTCCCTAATAGAAAACTTCAAAGTGCTTTTATATAAGGCTGATGTTTCCCTTGGAATAAAGAAGTTGACAAAATGTTGTGGAATTACGTGCTTTCCCACCTCAATCATGATCAAATGACAATGTTATGATCTGTCCACCAAAAAAGATGAGGTTTTTAAAATTCAAAGTATGAAATGGCCTGCATCTTCAAATATTTTCCTTGGATGAAATTTTGTGCGAAGTGAAAGAAGGTAGTCGGGTACATGGCTGTAAATTTCATAGTATGAAGAAGCTGCCTAGGATCTGGATGAACTTGTGTTCTCTTCTCGCCATGTAACAGATATATGTGTTGGACATGTTATTGTGTTTGGTTGCACATCATTAATTCTTTGGACATTTATGGAAAGTGTTCATGTGTGCCTCAAGCTTTTTAGGCTCATTCATGACAGAGTGGTCATTGATCTGGAATTTGGGCATGGTGCGCAACCATGTATTTTAGATTATGTTCATTAGATTTATCATTGGTTGCTACATGTGTGCAGGCTTGCATGTGTATAAGGAAAATGAAGATACGTAAATAGACACCACATGTACCAACATGCATATTTTATAGAGCTGCATCTAAAACATGTGTGCATGCTATCATAACTTTTAAGTTTTTATTCAAACACTATACAAAAGCTTTGATTCCTACATTGCCATAAACTTGTCATTGGCAAGTTTGGGCTGAAACGTTTTTCCTGATGAAAGAGTAACCTGCTATAGCATACACCTTGCTATAATTGTTAAATTGAAAAAGGTTTAGATATTAAACCACTTGAAACAAGTTTTGGGTTTCAAATTTGCATCTTCACTAGGACTACACATTTAAAGAGAATATGGAATGAAGGAGCAAGCATAATACCCTTGTAGGCCTCTACAATGCTCCAACACTTGTTACAGTACCCTTTTTGTCTTCTTTTCTATGGATAAAGCACAAAACATTATTCCTTGAAAGAGCTTATCTTTATGTCTTGCATGATTTCATGTCTTTATATCTTAGTCCAATGCTTCGCATTTGTGGTACTCAAGGAGATGCCTTTCCCTTGTCTCATGGTGGTGCAGAAGTCCAGCGGGAGTTTAAAGATGGTTGTTCTGTTCAGGTATACAGCGTGCAACCTTGTATCCCAAAGGATCCCACGGAACTCTGGAATGCCGAATTTGTACAGGCAGAGGAGCTCTTTAATCAGCCTTCAACTGTGGAAAACTGTTTGAGGGATAACAGGTATGATGCAACTCCATTTTCCTTGATGGTCTCTCTCTCTGTCTCTCTCTCACACACACACAAAAGTTCCTTTCTTCAGGTTCAGTGCAGTTTCAAACTCTTTTGTCAAGCGCAACACTAGTGGAGCACCTTTGCGTGTTGGGCATCCGGAGCCTAAGAAGGGTTCAGATGTGGCGGTCCCGTCACGAAATAATGGTATTGTGCTTAAAAGGCAAATGGATCCTCAGGCACAAAAGGAAAAAGCACCCCAAACAAGTACGGAAGAGGGCTTACAGGAGAAGGCTGCAGTAATAGTCATAAAAAATCAAGGTGCCCAACAAATTCATAATCAGGGTGGTAGGCCACAAGTTGACACAATTCATGTTGGTAAAAAGAAAACCACTAATGACAAAAGCTCATCTGCGGGATCTCTTGCAAGTTTATGGGACCGTGCATCTGCAAAATCAAAGCCTAGCTCTGACCAGATAGATTCGGTCGAGAGTGTTCCAAAAACCATATGTAAGTTACACCAGCATTTAAAACTTACAATTTTAAATCTATCACCCGTATGATTTTGGGCTTATTCAAAATTCTACCTGTGTGTGATTTAGCAGATTCACTCTCGCATTTCGAAGACGTGCCATTTCTCCCTTTTGGGATTCACAAATCTTGCATACCCAATATAATCTTTAACCTTCCTTTCCACTGAGATGAAAATACAGAATCTACTCATGTTCTATCTCTCACAACTAGTGTAGTATTTGGTCATGTACACCTAATCGTAAAAACTCATTTTACAAATGCATGTATGTAGTTCTGATAGTTTGTTATGCCCAAGGTAATTCAAAGACTATGAAAGTTTTGTATCCTACAAGCAAAATATTCATGGTATATTGATTTCTTGCAATCATCCTTTACTAGTAAGAAATGTAATACAAATTCAATAATTCACATCTTACAACTATTTTTGGGAATTTAGTATTTTGGTTGCTTTAAAATCTTTATTTTTTTCTATAGGGATGTTAAAACTTTCAAATATCCCCATATTTCAAGAATATTTCCGCAAAAAAATCAATAAAAACATAATATAACTATAATAAACATAACTAAAGAAGTACAACAATTTCTCTTAAAGAAGATACATAGATGGGTGTATTATTACTGAAATATTGATAGATTCTCTAATGATGCTAATTCTTTTGGGTGATTCGAAGAATGTCACTCATTAAAAGAACAAATGTTTTATAGTTCTATATGAAAATGTACAGCATGTTGGTTGCTTTTCAATCTTAATTTTGAGAACCATGAATAATCTTAGCGTCCTTTTTTTCTGATCCTTATTATTCTTCTAAAATTACCTTTGATGCAATATTTTAAAAAAGAATAACAATTACAATATTTTGAAAAAGAATATTGATAGATTCTCTAATGATGCTAATTCTTTTGGGTGATTTGAAGAATGTCACTTTTAGAAGAACAAATGTTTTATAGTTCTATATGAAAATGTACAGCATGTTGGTTGGTTTTCAATCTTAATTTTGAGAACAAGTGAATAATCTTAGCTTCCTTTTTTTCTGATCATTATTATTCTTCTAAAATTACCTTTGATGCAATATTTTGAAAAAGGATAACAATTACACTAGTGTTTTAATCACTGTCAGAGGTAACTATAGTCACTGTAGCAATATATGGAAAAGGTTAAGGATTTCTTGAATGTTGCTTGGGTTAGAGGGTTTCAGTCAGGCAAGTCTTGATAAGATTCTGCATATTCTCTTGAACCCAGTTTACTCTTTACCTAGTCAACTTGGATTGGGAAGGGTCCTCATCCCAGTATTTCTTTTTCTGTGAATTTCAAAGTGCAAGGGGGCACCCATACAATTTTTAGATTCTTTGCAGTGAATTAGTGGAAATCCGCGTTTTAGTTTTTTTTTGGGTGCTGAATTTAGTTTGCACGGCAAAGTCAACTATAATGAGAAGTCCATTTTTCTGTATCCTAAATGCAAATGCTTGATCTTATTATATTACCATTGTACAAATAATGGTCAAATTAATGCCTTTTCCTTTGATTTATTGTTGTCCAGTGAGTGCTGAAGGTCATATACGTGCCCGTGAGGCGGTGGAGGAGATGAGTAGTGGCGATGAAGAGGAAGGCTTTTCACGAAGAAGAATATCAAATAATGGTGGAAATGGAAGGAAGCGGAGGGTAGTTTTTTGTCCTTCAGATGATGATGACGATGATGATGAAATTGTTGTAAGCATTGCAACACCAGAGCCTCCAAAAAGCAGATCGGTTTTTGGAGCTGAAGCTGGTATTAATAACTCTGGGTCTGCTCTGGAGAAAATGGATATGCATACTAAAGAGCAGAATAGTGATGGGCATCTGAAAGAGAAACAGCAACATAGAGACAATGGTGTGAGGACGACTGAGAAAATAGAAGATGCTAGCAAGGGTGTGGTGTCTAAGGTACCTTCGTCTGAGGTGATTCGTGGTCATATTAATGGAGAACAAAATAATGAAGATAAGAATGCTGCCATCGCTCCTGCAGGCCCACCTAAGCGGAGAAAAGTTCTCAAGACACGGATTGATGAGCGGGGGAGAGAAGGTATGTATAAAATAACACAAATTGTGGGTTTTAATTCTTATGTCATTACTCATTACCAAAACAAAACAAGGAAAACAGAAACTTACAAATTTTGGGTTGGTGGGACTGTCTGCAATCGTCCTGATGAGCACATGACATTTCATTTGAGCATCTCTGGAAATTATTTATAGAAAACAAAAAAAGCCGGACAACCACTAACAGAAAGAAAAGGAAACTTTTTGGGATCATGACACTTGCTGCTGTGGAAATTTAATTCTGTCCTGTTGATATCAATTACATCTGTTTAAATTGCATCGGAACATTTTTTTTCTCCTTTTTAGTCCTTGGTGACAAGCAGTAAAGTAGACATGTATGACATTGTTTTATTAAATGAATTGATATTTGGTTATTACTTCTCAAATATATGCCTCTTAAGTTCAATTCCCCAATTTATAGACTCTCTTTTCCATAAACAGGAAAAAAAAAATTATTACAGCATCGATTAAGTTATCTCGGTTACAAGAAGTCCTGGAAAGCTCTACATAATGTCAAACTTTTTTGCTTTATTTCTTGACATCTTTTGATATAGTAATAGTAGAAGTGTAAGTAGTTCCTCAGCTCCTGTGGTGTTATTTTCTGTTGGAAGATAGTTATTTTCTGTTGGAAGAATAATATCCATGTAGATGCTATGTCCGTATTACTGTAAGCATTCTATCTAATTTGCATAAATGTGGAGAGATTCATTTTCTCATTAAAAATATAATTGACCTGTTATTTGCGTATTGACTTTTGTTGTATTGTCTCAAACATCTGGTTTCAGTAGCTTACACACTATAGAAAGAAAATAAAATTTTCACATGGCAAAATAAAGCTTTCCCCTATAATCCATGATTTCCCAAAGGATTCAGGACATTTTATATTCTTAACAAGTTTTTTTTTTTTTAGCAAATGTTGCAGTTGGATCTTGATCATATTGCAGTATGTACAGGATGTGGAGGCATTTTGGTTGATTTATTTACCTTTCTCACTTGACTTATTGTGCTAAATCTTTTGGTGTAAATTTCAGTGACTGAGGTTGTATGGGAGGGAGATGCTGATGACAGCAGTAACACAGCCAAGGAGGCAATAACTAACAATACTGACAACAGGTCAGTTTTATTTAGATATATTTCTTATATTAAATATATGCTTATTTACCATGTCAACTTAATTTGTTCAAGGCTATAATCTGACTTTGAATTTAGTGGCGCATGCTGATAATGCTAATTCAATTAATTTGGATGCCCAATTTATGAATCTAGATTATGTTGTCAGCTGAAATTATTGCTTCTAATCGAAAAATGAGGAATAATAAAATTAGTGGCTATGTAGGGTTCCCAGGCTATAAATTCAGAAAGTTTTTATTATCTTTTATTAATAACTGGGTAAATTCTACTTACATTGCCAAAATACACAACGACAGTAAAAACCTTCTCCAATCTAGGATCTCCTTCTCAATGTCTTAAAAATGAACTTTTACTCTTAGACAAACATTTGAATACAATATGAACCAAGAACAAGAAAAAACAAACTGAAAAATAAACTGAGAAGACTTGCTCAATTTTGCCTAAGATTACCTTTGTAGGACTTCGCACACCCCACATCCGACTACTGAACCAATTGCGCACTGATCCTTAGGTCCTCCTTGAGTCCTCCAATATGGGAAGCACCTCGGAAATACCCTCTATAACTTTGAATTGGGGCTGAGAGCATAAAGTGGAAAAGGGTTTTTCAAGCCTCTGAAAAAACACAATTAGGATTTCTTTACAACCCTTTAAACCTTGGGCAATGCCACAATGTGGCACCACCCCTAAACTAACTGGGTTGGGCATGCCCCTCTCACAAAGCACCTTGGTCGGGCATGCTACTCTAGGTTTCCTATAGGCATACCATCCTAAGAGACAAAAAGCTAGAGAGAAAGAGATATGGGCATGGGGGAGAGAGGGAGAGGTCAGAAAAGCCGAACTGCGAGAAATGAGGTGAAAACCCCCTTTATATAGGGTCTCATGGCCTACGGTATGTTAACTTTTATTAAGCTTTAACTTTGACCTTGGGAATCCTAGGTGATCCGTGAGGTGAAGAGTGAATTGAATTTGAGCCTTCAATTCTGTATATCACTCATCATGATTAGGGAGGATCCTAGAACCATTATCCCTTTGATCCTTGACCCATATCTTCTTCTTAACTCCATTAGGATTGATTTCATAGTTCCATATGAAACTAAAATATTTAGAAATTCAAAACTTAATTTGAATTCCTTTTCCTCTTTTAAAACAAAAAGCATTTTTTTTTTTTTTTAAACAAAAAATATCCTTTCCCATAAGATCAATTGTCTTACCTTAACTAATTCCATTAGCGATAGGAGAGGGAGAGGAAGGAGGGAAGGACATGGGGACAAGAGTGTGTGAATCCCTTATGTCGCACATAATGATGATGTCTCACATGTTGGGCCATGGCCAATGGCTTCCTCATGTGGGCTTCCACATTATTAAAAGTGTACAAAAATTTTATAATCTATGAAAATGCCCTTAGAACATTTTAAATAAATAAAATGAATTTTAAATTTGAAATTAATTAATTGATTTAAAAATTCTCCAGGCAACATAAGAATTTCGAAAAATTATTTTTTTGGATTCCAAAAAATTATCAAATCATAATAAAATAATTCTTGAAGAGGATTGGTGCCAACAGTTTAGGAAAAACGACTTTTCAAGGCACCCCACTTATGCGAAAAATCCATTCCCACAACTATCTTCTCACATCAACCCAATGGGACCTATGACCTACAGTCAATCGCAAGAGCTCATGATTAGCTCGTCAAGTTTGGCCGATCAATAGCAAAACCTGGAATCTATATGGTCCACCCCCCTGCAACCTTCCCAAGAGTAAGTCATACCCATAAGGATCGAGGTTTCAAAAAATGCTAGGAGGCCCCCAGGCGGCCTGCCTAGCACCCAGGGCCTAGGCGGGCGCCTCGTAGTTTTAAAAAAACGAGAAACACCTTACGTCCTTGAGCGCCCGCCTAGGCGCTCGCCCAGGTACATCCGCCCATGTAGGGACTGCTTGGGTCTAGGCGGGCGGATTTTTGGTCCAGGCTGCCTAGGCGGGCGCTTAGGCGCCAGGTGAACTGTTTTTTAAAACATTGATATGGATAAACACACACATATCCCTGTAATGCGAGGGGACTATCTCTTACGCACATGCACATGACGCTCTCAAGGCTGGTTTCTAATTTGTGGCTATCATATGTACGTGTCATGTGGTAGTTCTTGAGGATTTGGCCCTTGCCCTCACCGAACGCAAGAGATCATCAGCCTCAGGCCCACAATCATCATCCCAAGGCGCATCTTTCCTACCTCAACGATGGACGATCCTTTGGAGTAACCTTCAAAGGCAGTGTGTATGCCCATTAGTAAGAGTGTTGGACATGACCTGGGCCGAGACCGCTCAAACCAAGGGCAGACAACAAATGGTTCATACACTCTTATTAAATTGCTCATCCATCCACTTGGCCTTTGAAGGCCATATAATCTTTCTCTCTCTCTCTCTCTCTCTCTCTCTCATTCTGCAATGTGCATGCTTGGTAGACACATTCGCCACTAAGCCTTTAGTCAATGGATCTGCTAACATAGCCTATATTAGGAGATTTGCTCAGATCTCGATGCATATATGGTAATGGTCTGCCTTTATATGTCTGGATTTCTTATGAAATTGTGGTTCCTTAGGCACTCAAATTGTGGCTTGGTTGTTGTAGAAGATCCTCACACGTTAGCACTTTACTGGAAATGAATCTAAGTTGACTTAGGAATTTCTTCAACCAGATGGCCTCTTTTGATGCGAGAGAACAAGCCACATATTTTGACTCCATAGTCGATAGTGCAATGACTTCATGTTTATTTAAGCATCAAGAAACAACACCACTAGCAAGTGTGAAAATATATTTGGATGTGGACTTCATCTCATCTGGATTGGAATATCCCTGTATTTGAATGTTCGAGCCTCTTCCATAAGTGAGAGTGGAATTAACAGTTCCCTTTACATATCACACAACTCCTTTGATTGCCTTATAGTATTTCTTGCTTGGGTTAATCTACAGCCTGCTTATCATACGCATAGCAAATGATAAGTCTGGTCTTGTCCCCAACATAGCATTATCAATGAGCCAACTGCGCTTTTGTATGGGGTTCTCTATACGACCTCTTTTTCCTCTGAACTTGTGGGACACATGGCTAGGCTTAGCTTGACCTTCTTATCAATAGGGGTCACTATGGGCCTACAATTTTCCATCCCAAATCTTTTCAAGATTTTCTTATATGCTTCTTGAGATAATTGGATGATTCTGTTTCTCGTATTTTGATTCCCATAACATATGAAGCCTCTCCAAGATCCTTCATATCAAAGTGTTATGAAAGTATAGCTTTTGTTTCGAAAACAAAGTCATTGAACTATTGGTTATAAGCATGTCATCCACATATAATGAGATGAACAAAACACCATTGATGTTGATCTTGACATGTATGCAATAATCCTTCTAGTTGGACAAAAAGCTAGCTTTTGCCAAAGTCTCTTAAAACTTAATATACTATCGAGATGCTTGCTTCAGGCCTTAAAGAGGTTTCTTAAGTTTACACACTAGGCATTCCTTTCTCTTCTCTATGAGGTCCCCGGTTTGTTTCATATAGATTTCTTCTTTAATTCCCCAATTAAGAAAGGTTTTTTTCATATCTATTTGATGGAGTTTGAAATCGAAATGGGCTACTATGGCTATTATGATCCTAATGGATCGAAACTTAACCACAGGGGAGAAGGTTTCATCATAGTCTATACCTTCTTTATGGGTGAACTCCTTGGCTAACATTCTTGCTTTATACTCTTCTAGCTTCCCATCTGAGTTCAACTACTACCTAAAAACTCATTTGCAACATATAACTTTTCTATCATGGGTCAGGGTACTAGGTCCCAAACATGGTTTTATTTGATGGAGTTATTGGATCCTTTTAGGGTAGGTTATGGCTTCTTGATAGGAACAAGATTCATGCAAGGATTCTTTCAATACATTCATAATGTTCTCCTAGGAAGTGAAGAGTTCAGGCTTTTCTTGATACAGTTAATTCTCCAAGGGATCCCGAGTCTCACCCATGTCACTTATCAGCTCATAATATTCAGCTTGCTTATGAGTGCCACGTGCTTTGAGGAACTCATTCTCAAAGAAGTGGGCATCCCTACTTTCAAGAACAGCCCCTGTATCTAGATCATAGAACATCTATCCCTTACCATGATGTGGGCATCCTATAAAAATGCACTTAACAATTTAGGGTTCTAGTTTTATCCTATTTTGGTTTGTTTGGTTTTCTAATTTGAATTTATACTTTTGAAATAGTCTAGGGTTTTTGACTTTTCACCAAAGACCCAACAAGTACACATGGCCATATTGGGAGTGGTCATATATAGAAGTGATTTTTTGTGACCCATAACAGCCACATTCATAGGTCCAAAAATATTAAGTTGGACGACGTCTAAAACAACAGTAGCTCTGAGCTTTCATTAAGGGTTTCTTAACTAGCTTTCGTTCCACAAAATGACTCCCACACTTGGTCAAATCCCCATTCAATAATCCTTCTCTCTTTTATCTCTCCATCTTATAATTTATATGCCCCAATCTAATATGCCATATATAAGCATCATCAACATCTGCATAACATGATACACCAGAAATAAACAAAAGGTGGAGAGTTTATTTTAAAAAATTATTAAATGACGAACACAATGGGAACATAGTGGTAGAAGAACTGTTGGCATAAATGAGGGTGGAGGTCATAGATACATTTATTAGATTAGGATAACGGAACCGAAAGAAGCTTTGAGATGAATGAAAATAATAAAGGCTTTAGGACTATACGATATCCTGATAGAGGTTTGGAAGTGCATGGGGGAGGTTGGCATTGACTGTTGACTAGGCTATTCAACAAAGTTTTGAGAACAAAGAAAATGCCAAACGAATAGAGAAAAAGTATTGTGGTACCTATTCACAAGAGCAAAGGAGACATACATAATTGTGCAAACTATCGAGGGATCAAACTTATAAGTCACATTATGAAGCTCTGGAGAGAGTGATTGAGCAATGACTAAGGCATGAAACGAGTTGTATCAGAAAACAAATTTGGTTTTATGTCAGGGAGGTCAACAATCGAGGCTAGTTTCCTACTTAGGCAACTAACTGAGTAGTTTAGGGCAAAGGAAAAGACCTCCACATGGTCTTTATTGATCTAGAAAAGCTTATGATACAGTACCTCGAGATTTGATTTGGTTGGTGTTGGAAAAGAAAGAAGTCTCTAGACACTATATCGACTTGGTGAGAGATATGTACGATGGGGCGTTAACTAGTGTACGTACAAGTAGTGGAAAGACGAGTCAGTTTTCAATGACAATAGGTCTAAATCAGGGGTTGACATTGAGCCCATACCTCTTTGTCTTAGTTATGGACGACTTAACTAGGCACCTACAAAAGGAAGTACCGTGGTGCATGTTCGCAGATGACAGTTTTGATCAATGAGTTTCCAAACAGCATCAACACAAAGTTAGAACTTTGGAGGGATGCTCTAGAATTTAAAGATTTTAAAAATTTGCCGGACTAAGACAAACAGAGTATATGGAATACAAGCTTAATAATTATTGGAGTAGAAGTGAGGAAGTAGTTAAGATTGATGGCCAAGAAATATTAAAAAGAGCGCACTTTCGATATGTTGGGTCAATAATGGAGAGATTGAGGAAGATGCCGCACATAGAATTAGAGCTGGGTGGACGAAGTGGGGATGTGCAACTAGAATTTTATGTGTTTGTTGCAATGCCAATGAAGTTGAATGAAATGTTCTATCGGACAGTTGTGAGACCAGCTTTGCGCTATGGGGCAAAATGTTGGGCGGTCAAAAAACAATGTACCTATAGAATGAGTGTAGCAGAGATGGGGATATTGAGATGGATGAGTGGCAAGACAAGAATGGATAGAATTCGAAATGAATATATTTGGAAAAATTTAGGTGTAGCACCAATAAGCGATAAGATGAGAGAGAGTAGACTTAGATGGGCTGGCCATGTGTGGCGCAGACCCAGTACAACACATGTTAGGAGGTGTGAGTTAGTTCAAGTGTAAGGCTCAAAAGGGTAGATCCAAAAGGATATGGTTGGAAATAGTGAGAAAATGTATGGGGACTTATGGCCTCACTGACGGTATGGCCTTAATAGAGCAGAATGGCGGCCCATGAATCGTGTAGCGAACCCCAATTAATTGGGAAAAGGCTTTGATGATGATGATTATTGCACTTGAAAAGAAACCAACTACAAGAAGTCCAGTCATCACAATCTCTTTGTGCAGTTTTTTACTTTTACCCTATTGCCAATAAATATGGTGGAATATCCTTCCTTAGCCAACTTTGAGACCGAAACCTCCTTCTCATCTCTAGAGCATAAAGAGTGTGCTTTAGAACTACCTATTTTTTGTCCTCTAACTGAAGGACATAATCACCATTACTCAATATTTTTGTCTTTTGATTACCATCCATAAAAATATGTCGATCCCCTAGGGCAACAGGCTTGGAATTTTGGAAACCATCCTTGGTGTTAGACATGTCGGTAGTAGATGCCGAGTCAAAACACCATGATCCCTCCTCAGGGGTCAGCTAGCAGAGTCTCTAACACCAAGCACGCATACTCCCTATTACCCCCAGGATTCGTATTCTATGTGGCTTCGCAATAGCTCACTATGTGCCATACTAATTAAAATATTGGGTGTTCTTTAAATCCTTCTTCTCTTAGGCCCATGATTTCCTTTTTGATTTTCATCTCTCTTATATTTATTATTGCACTTGCCCTTTTCCTTAAAAGATTTGGAGTTGGTTTTCAGATTTACGAGATTCACAGAGACTTTGAAAGTTGGAGTGTTGCGAGTCATCCTTCTATTTTCTTTTGCTTTAAGCTTTGTGATGATCTCTTATCAGGCTGTACATGAGCTGCCTCATGCTCTCGAACCATTGCTCTGTATTTCTGGATGTGATAGGCCAATTTTCATCTTTTATCTTCAAGTCTGAGTATTGCTTCATTGCAAAGGTTCTCCTAGTGAGGGAAGGAGTGGCATAATCATCTGTGGGCATGAGAAGGAGATGCTTTGCCAGGTATTTTTGCCCTCCCACTGAGCATAAGCATCCCTAGGAGCCTCTGTGGCATTACTTCTTGGCTTGGGTCAAGAATTCTCTTAGCATCTGACTGAATCTTGCCTCCAAGAGAAAGTAGATGATCTTATGTTTCCATGAGGCATAGGTTTTTCCATTGAACATTTTGATCTTTAAAAGTTCAGCCGTGAAACTTTGGCTGCCATGTTCTTAACTTAAGAAACAAAGAGACTTCCTAAACTATGGCAGGAAGAGGACCGGCTCTGATGAAAGTAGTGGCTATGTAGGGTTCGTGGGGTATAGATTCAAAAAAAAAATTTCTTTTCTTTTAGTAATAACTGGGTAATATTATTTACAATTGCCAAAATACACCGCGGAAGCAAAAAATGAAACATACTACAATCTAGGATCTTACTCTTGCTGCCTTAAAAATAAACTTTTATTCATAAACAAAAACTTGTATTACAATATGAATCAAGAACAAGACCAAACAAACTGAGAATTAAACTAGGATGACTTACTGCAATTTTGCCTAGGATTACCTCTTTAGGACTTTGTGCATCCCATACCCAGTTACCGAACCGATAGCGTACTTATCCTTGGATCCTCGTTGAGTCCTATATGGGACACACCTTGGCTCTAAATTGGCTGAGAGCATAAAGTAAAAATTAAGGTTTTTCAACCCTCTGAAAAAAATACAATTAGGATTCTTTACAACCCTTTAAACCTTGGGGCTTGCTGCAATGTGGCGCCACCCCTAAACTAACTGGGTTGAGTGTGTCCCTCTCACAGAGCACCTAGGTGGGGCGTTCCACCCTAGGTCTATTATAGGTGGAGTCACACCCTAAGAAAGAGAAGGCTAGAGAGAGAGAGAGAGAGAGAGAGAGAGAGAGAGAGAGAGAGAGATAGGGGCGTGGAAGAGACAGGGAGAAAGAGAGAGAGAGGTTAGAAGAACTGAACTGAGGGAAATGAGGTCAACTTCTATATAGGGCCTCATGGCCTAGGGTATGCCAACTTCTATTAGGACATAACTTTGATCTTGGGAATCTCAGGTAATCTGTGACGTGAAGAGAGAATTAAATGTGAGCCATCCATTCCTTATATCAGCCATCATGATTAGGGAGGAAAGACAAGAAACCTAAAACCATTATCCCTTGGATCCTTGACCTATATCCTCTTCTAACTCTATTAGGATTAGGTTTCCAAATTCCATAGGAAACAAGATATTATTAAAAATCCAAAACTTAATTGGAAACCTCTTTCCTCTTTTGAAACTATAATCCTTTTTTTTCTTTTAAACACAAAATAAACAAAGTATCTTATCCCACAAGTTACTATAGTGCAGAAGGCTTTATCTTACGCACATGTACACAACACACCAATGTTGCTTTCCAAAATGCGGCTATCATATGTACGGGCCATGCAATTGTTATTGAGGATTTGGCCATTGCCCTCACAGGCCTCCGATTGTATGTAGGAGACCACTAGCCTCCTAGCCCATAATCATCATCCCTAGGCAGCTCTCCGACCTCAACGAGGGATGAAAGTACATTGTAACCTTCAACAGTAGTGCCAATGCCTAGGTGTAAGGGTTTTGTACATGACTTGGGTCTAGAGCACTTAACCCAAGGTTAGTCAGCTGACGGTTCATATACTCCCATTGAAGTGTGCATCCACTGTAATTTTTATTTTGACATGCTTAGTCTCAAGGCCTTTAAAGGCTACAAACCCCAATAAATAGTCATGTTGATACCCTTTTTCTTTTTTCGACTTTCCATGGATCTATATGTTTCTAATTTTTGTGCATCATGTCAGTTTTGATTGCTTGTTTTGGTTATTTATTGTTGGGTACTGATAAACTGTTGATTTTGATTTTAGCCCCAAGCTAAATTTGATCGATGAAACTGGCAAAGTGACTGCGCTCTTTCTTGTGTTTGTCAATTATGAATGTGGCTTGGTTTGTTCAATGAAGATGATTAAATTATTTTCCCATTGTCATTCAACAAGAAGAAAAAGAAGACCTCTTGGTCAATAATGTATAGAAGTTCTCTGATGATGATTTGAATATTTGGAGGTGCAGGTCTACTGCAGCACCTAAAGCACCGGCTCCAGTGAAGGCTGCTCCATTTAATCCCCCTGCTAAGGGTGGTGTTAAGAAACCTGCCAAAGGTGGAGTGAAGGATCCTAAACAAGGAAACATCCTTTCATTCTTCAAAAAGGCTTGAGGATCGGTCAGGGATCTAATGCCAATGAAGCTTTCTTGTTACTGAAAACTGTGAATCTTAATGTTAATATAGTGATTATGCTGTCTTATTCATTGGTTTTTAAAGCTGGAAATTAAGAGTTCCTTCACCTCCCTCCTAAAGAAAAAGAATGAGTCTATCTGAAATCAAATGACTTTGAAAGGTTACACATCTATCCATATAGGAAACTTTTGATACTTTTTTTTTTGGGTAAGCCTTTTTAACTGGCAATGCCACTTTTGACAAAAACTACTTTCTAAAGTTGATGTCAATTTTGAGTTGAAGAGCTTTTCATTTGCCAATGTGAAACAAAAAGTACCATCTCATTTATGTTTTGAGTGATACTAATACAAATTTAATATTCTGTTATGGCTGATGGTACCCCCAATTAATGCTTATCAGCCTAAAATATAAAACCATGGCTTTTTATGATATTTTATATATGCCTTACTCTAAATGATGAAATTATTTCTCTAGAAATGATTGGAATCAAACCAAGCAGTAATTAAAGCCCAAAAAATATCAATGCTTCTTGGCAAATTTCTATTCATATATCAGCAGATCTTATAGGCTTGTGGTTGGCAAGTCCCAATGCACATTATTTTGAGCTAAAAAAAAAGCTGATCCCCACAGATTACAGCAAGAGATAAAGTAATTATCTTGAATTAATGTAGCACAATTTTCTCCTTTTCTTATAAGGAGAACAAAACATACAATATGCAGCATTAAACTAAAGACTAAAAGGTTTAGATTGCAGATTTCTTATATTTCCCTTATGCAGTCAATTTCTGTTCTATTATTATGATCAATGATTTAATGTTTAAGGGTGTTTGACTCTATTCTGTTGCTATTTTTTTTTTACTAATGTTAAACTTTATTAGTGACAGGAAATTGCATCGGTGAAATTACATCTTCAGATGCCATGTCTAAGACTTGAAGCCATACTGATTTTAACTGCCATGGCACTTTTCTAATTAGATCATCTAATAACATTCAACGAGTCACCTTCAACATATCATAAACTTCTCGAATTTCTTTCTTTAAATATCGTCAGACCTTGGAGTAAGGTTGAGAATTCAGCGTAGTTAGCTGTAACAACTCCACATGGACCAACATAAGAAAAAAAGGCATTTCCACTCCCATCTCTATCAATCCCCCCAACACCCGCCTGATCAGGAGCTTCCATTAAAGTTAAAACTTAAAACAACCTTGCAAAGTGGGGAGCCATCTACCTTTAGGCCAACATTTGACCACACCCAAACTGAACAAGTTTGAGAGATTATGCATTATGCCCACTTCCGATTGCCAACACCATAGGGAATGCATAATATTGTCGAGAATTCTATAAAAGGATAATGCATTTCCATCAAATGTTTGCCTGTTTCGTTTTTTATTCTTAAGACAAACGAACAATGCACCAAAAGATGGGCACTTGTTTCACCATCTCCCTTGCACATTAGACACACATTTTGAAGAATCTTACCCTGCTTATTCAAGTTATCCCCAGTAAGGATTTTGTCTTGGACTACTAACCAAATGAAAACCTGCACTTTGTCAGGGACAAGGTACTTCCAAACCTTTGCGACTTGTGGTAGGGACCACCGCCAACGATCATGAAAGAGTAGCATATATGCAGATCTCACATAGAACTGTCCATCAGATTCCATATCCCACACAATCTCATCTTCCGTATTTTGCGGATATACACCTTATCCAACTCTTCCATGAGGATACTATACCGGGCATATTGTCCATCGTCTAATCTGTTATATAGGAAGTTTAAACTCTAAACCACTTGATTTTCCCGAAATTCAAACACTTCAGCAACCTTGGCATTTGTTGAGCCACCTTATCTCTTCTATTCTTCTGTTGCTATCTTGAAAGCAATGGAGATACTCATCACAAAACCCATTCTAGCTGCCACATGGTTTGCATTTATGGTACTTGCTTTGTGGTTTTTTTGGCACTTCTAGATATGGGGACTGTGCATGGTTGACTGCAAAATTCATATAGCAACTTGATTGGATACAAACAGTGTTGCTTCTTGATGAACTTGTCGTTTTTGCTCCAAAGATCAAACTACAAGGGAAGTTCATTCAATCTCAACCGAATATGAGAAGGCGCAGCATGTTGCATATGCATAAGGTTGCAATTTCACGGGTATTAATGTAAATATGTATATGAAATCTTGGAGAATATGAAAAACTTCATTTTCCCTCCTAACAAATTAAGCTTGCCATAAGAAAACCCATCAAATAGCTGGAATGAAACTAGGTTTCAAGGACATTACTATTACATTAGGCGAGATAGCAAGTATGGTGATACCATGACACCGCATGTAGTTCCTAGGCAATAGTAATGCTATAGGATCTACATGCCCCTAATGCTAGGCCATCCCCTGATGCTAGGCATGTAGATTCTATGACAAAAGGATCAAATGTATTTACTAGGCATGTGCATGGGATGGGTTTAATAGAATGTGAGAAATGAGAGAATGAGATAGATATTTTGCATGAGCATGTTTATGAATACTTGTGTAAGAATATTTACATGAGCATGGATGAATGTTTTCATGGGTATTCGTATGGGCATGAATGGATATCTATGAGTATGAATGTATAATGATAATGTATGTATAAAGGCTTCAAATGGTCAAGGAGGATAATGTTGGAGTTATGGATTTTCAAGGCCCTAACCCCACCATCATATGATAGTTCTTGGTCACAATAGAAGTGAATAAGAATGCATGACTCACATATCTAGCGAATTGGGATTTGGAGATTTACAAAACCCGATATCACGAGGTTTGTATGGAGGGCCTTATTTGGAACCGTGAGGTTTGAGTGTCTCCTCTAGTTAGAGGCATTATGAACATACGTTATGATTGTGTGTGCCATAATAAGTGTCGGATATGAGAATGTAATTAATATAGAATTCCTTGTGAAAATAAATATGTGTGAGAAGACCGGGGTTTAAGAGGATATGAGTCAAAATTTCTGACCTTGAGCCTTCTCACAATATATACACATACAGTTGCATTCATATAGGAAGCCGCTCTTTCAAGGTATGATCCACTTGTTAGAGTTATATACATGTGCTCACAGGGAGGACTCCACATGCACAAGAGTGCATTCCTTAGGTTGCATTTGCAAGGCACTATAGTACAGGATCCATCCATCTATTATGTAAACTTTGATAAACTATATGGAATACCTGCCAAAGTTAGTGGGACATGGGTTTTGTTAGATTAGCTTAAGAAAATGGCTTAGGGTTCTGGATCAAGCCAAGTGCACTTAACTGGTACCCAACTACATTTCCTAAAGAATGCTAATTTGCCTCTATATTTTTTCCTGAGATGCCAAAGTGGTTTAATTTGATCAAGAATGATTAAAAATGAGTTCAAATAATTTGAAAAATTTTGTGAATTTTTCTAAGAGAAAATATGAGTTTTTAAGTTTGTTTGGGCTCAATACAAAATAAAGACAAGTCACAAATATGGGGGGTGTGGCACTCGAGTGGCCAATGAGTGCTACGTGGAACCCACATGATTTCTACATCACTCTAAGTGGATGATGTAGCACGGGGTGGCATGGCTGGAACGGTGATTGCTTGAGACACATTCATGATATCAATTTGCTTTGGTGTTAAAATGGTGTAGTTTGATTACTAGTATGGGGTTTATGTTATGGGGTTTATGTTATGTTCGTTAGAGTTTCGGAAAACATTGAGTAAATATGTAGAATATTGAAAAAATAGCTGAAAATTGGAACATTCACACATGAAATATTTGGTCATGGGAATGGAATGCCTCATGGAATGTCTCAGGGAATGCGGTGCTGTTTGTCTTTGTGGAATGGGGCATGACTTTTATCAGATATTTGGGCAGGGGTTGAAATTGTATGTAGTCCATATAACTGGTTCGCCTTTCGCTATATGTATTGGTGTTTGATTACCATACATGATCCTTCCAATCCCCCACTTCAAGGCCCATAATATATCTGAGAAATTTCTTAATTCATATGGCCTCGTTGGTTGTTAGACGCTACATATTCGAATTGATAGAGCTATTATATTATGCTTCTTTAAACACTAAAGTATTGCTCCTCTACCATACAGGAATAGATAACCTGAAGTGGACTTAAATTCACCAGGGTCATTTGGAAGTCGACATTGGAGTATCTAGGGTACTTTAGAATGCACCAATCATACTTTGGAGAATGTTAGGTCCAGTCCAGTTCCTTGTATTTGGTACATTTAAAGATCCAATTGCATTTCTATAGGATCATCTTTCCATATACTTCCTTTTTTCTTCATTCCTATGGCACATGCTTAAACTTAACTATGTTCGTCTCTCATTTGGCGTGTATATAGGTTTGCATTCACTCATCTTAAATCTCAGTGGCATTTCCTTGCAATAGGTGGCTTGTGAGAGGTGAATTAGCCTGGTGGATCTACGCATTCTTTATTGGTGAAATTTTGTATTGAATATTTTCTTAGATCAAGATTCTTAATTTACTCCCTGTCAATTGGCTTATATTTAAACCAATTTCAATAATAATAGTAAGGTTAATGAAAAAAAATTTACTCCCTGTCAATTGGCTTATATTTAAACCAATTTCAATAATAATAGTAAGGTTAATGAAAAAATAAAGTTATAGAGAAGAAGCTTTTTTGAAAAAAAAAATTGAAAAAAGATAAAATACAGATTTACATTGGTTCCATTAGAAAAATGTGATTTTTTGAAGATGTTATGAAAGCTTGGAGTTTTTAACAGATTTCAAAAATAAAATAAAAAAATAAAAAAATAAAAAAAATCATATTTTAAATAGAGACTTGCTAACTATGATCTCAATCATGACAATCGTTTTTTTTCAACAAAAAAAAATGAAAATTACAAAAAACCTCCCTTAACTCAACTTTCTTTATAACCTCCCCTCAACCAATTTTTTTATTACAAATTTTATCCCAAGACAAACTTTTCAAGCAATTAACCCCCTCTCCCAAGTAAAAAAGTCATAGTTTTTAGGATCAAACTGACCTCACTTTCTCTTCTAACACCCAAGACTTAACTTTCCCATAACGCACACAAAAAGGTGGTCTGGAACTGCCAAAAAGCGGTTCGACAATAGGCCCATCTGTTCTGGCAATAGGCCCATGCAGTATGGCATCAGGTCCAAAGTGCCGCCCGGCAATTATTATGTGATAATATGCGCTCAGTCTGACATTCTTTCTAGTCGTTGAGCATCCTATAGGGATATGATGCCATCATGTACGGACAATGGCATTTTTGTCGAACAAATATTGCATTTTTTGACTTGGGGATATTTGTTAGAAAATATTGGGGAACGTTATCTAGAAAGCAAAAGTTGGGCGCATATCTGCAATTTTTCCAAAACAAAACACTAGTTCTGAACTTCAAATATAGTCCATTTTGCACCTTTTTTTTGTCGAATGTTTATTTTATCTAAAATTTAGTGGAACTCTAAATTCGATGCATGTACGGTGGGAAGGGAGCCTCAATGACATAAATATTTTGCGGGTTCAAAATCCTTGAAAACCATGTTTTGCCTCCGCTATTCATCATCCAAATTAGGTAGAAAGCACTACATAATGCCCTTCTTATTAACAATTGAACTACTTCCATATTATGTAGAAAGCACTAGATAATGCCCTTCTTATTAACAATTGAACTACTTACCATGTGTCAAATAAAAACCAGAGACCAAAAAGACTTATGTTGTCCATCCCGCTTCATAATCAGAACTATATCCCAACTATTTGGGATCGGCTACACGAACAATTAAACTACTTCCATATTACGTAGAAAGCACTAGATAATGCCTTTCTTCTTAATAATTGAACTACTTACCATGTATCAAATAAAAACCACATACCAAAAAGACTTATGTTGTCCATCCCGCATCATCATCAGAGCTATATCCCAACTATTTGAGATCAGCTACACAAATTTGTTATGTTGTTATGCTAGATTAAGGGTCATATCCTCATCAAGACCATAAGTCCCCTTTTTTTTTGTAACTATTTCTATCAATGTCCATTTGAGCCTCCCTCTTGTCCTTTTAGAACCTTCTACTTGAACCAAATCACAATTAGTTATTTAATTAGAAAAATGGATCTCAATTCTTGACCTCCCTGATATAAAATAGAGCTAATTTTCTGATATACTTGTTTCATGCCTTAGTTGTTGCTTAATTATTTTTTCATAGAGCTTCATAATATGGCTCATAATACAATTCTATAACTCTTTTGTCAAAAATACATTTGTTCTTGTAAATAGGTACCATTAAGGATGAGATGGGTCAGATCAGGGCTGGATTTAACCAGATCCGGATCCAGATCCGAATAGTATACATCAGATCCAGGTCGAATCCAAGTTCAAACTGGATCTTGGATATTAGATTCAAATCCGAATAGTAATCGAATTTGGATCTGAATATTATACATCGAATCCGAACTATATATACGATTTAAAAATTATATATATATAAAATAAAATTACTGTTGCAAAAAAATCCATTGGATTTAGATCTGGATCCGGGTCAAATCTGGATCGAATCCACCTGCACACAGATCCAATCTAGATTTCAATTCGGATGTAGCTTTTGGATCTAGATTTTGGGTCCATACCTGGATCTGAATGGGGTATGAAATCTAAGTTTTGGATCTGGATTGGGTCATTTCTCTCCCCTGGGTACCATAGCAAAAAAAATTATTCCTCTAGTAGTTTCTTTGTTTTCAATACCTTGTTGAACAATTTAGCCGGCCAGCATTTGCCAATCTCCCCCATGCATTTCCAAACCTCTTTCGGGACTCTATCTTATCCTAAAGCCTTTCACCTATTCATCATTCTCAAAGTTTCTTTCACTTTAGGAATCTTAATCTTGCGAATGTACTTATGAAATCTACTCTTATTTATGTCAAAGGTTCCTCCTAGCGTTGTGTTCTTATTGTATTTATCATTTAATAATTTTTGAAATATGAACTTTCTACTTTTGTTGACCTCGTTATCCTTCACCAAGAACATGAGATGCGCACTTTTAATTCATTTAATATAGTCTAAACCCTACACATCCTCTTTCTCATTTTTGTTACTTTGAAGACATCTTTTTTACCTCGTCTTTTTCTCAGTTTATTGTATACATTATCATATGCTTTAACTTAAACCTTAATATTTTTTAGTGTTTTTCTTTACAATTTTATATTCATCTAAGTTTTCATCATTGCTAATACATTGTCAAGTTTTATAAGATGTTTGCTAATAGGCTTTTAAACCTCATCACTTCACCACCACATTCTCCTATCGAAATTCTTTTCCTTCCACTCTCCTAAAACTTCTTTTGCCACTTTATTAACAAAGTCAATCATTTCATTCCATATAACACTAACCTCACACTTAGAATTCTATGTTCATTCTTTTACCAATATACGCCTAAATAAGTCTATTTTCTCTTCCTTTTTTCAAATTACCCCACCTAGTTTTTGGATATCTATTAATCTCACATAATAAATTGTTTTCTTTATGGTGAAGAATGGATTTATATTGGGCATTCATAAATAAATATAAAGTTCAAGGAAAAAAAATATTAAAGTAAAAAAATAAAATGAAGAAAAAAAGACCAAGCAGCTTGCATAAGTTTAGTAATAAACACGAATTATAGTCCAGGCGCACCAAATTGGCTAAAATCAGTGGAACTTAGCAAACCAGTTATCAGATGATGGGGCCGTGTGTATCAGTCAATACAGTCTTTACATACGCGGACTCCTAAATCCCTCTTAGAACTGGATTATGGATCTGAAATTAACGGGTCAAAACTATCAACCATAACTAACATGAATCTGAAGAAAATAAAAAATAAACTTTAAACTTCAAAACTACACAATTTTAACCTGCCATTTTATGCCATTCATCAACCCCTTGAAAATAATCTAACAATTTTAAAAATTAAAATTCCTTTTTTATATCCATGATTGTAATGGCCACCATTCCTCTGAATATTTAACTACTGAAATCATTTATAAGATGAATTTTAGGAAGGAAAATTGTTTCATTCAAGCTGGACCGCATTTCTACATATACGGTCCCGAAAGTGTAAATCATCCATCTTAAAGATGGATAAGAGTAGGTGTTCCATCTAAAACCAATAGAAACTAACAGTCCAAATGTTCTCTTACTAGAATTATTATTTCTAGCTTTTAAAATTTATTTATTTTTTCATATTCATGATCTCCTTATTAGAAACTACATGTCTTTAAAAATCCATCTCAAAAATAGATTTAGTAAGAGGCCCAGATTATAACACATGCAAGCTTGGCCGCATAGAATCGGGATCCTTTTTGGAAGGGTAGGCCAATATGGGCACACGAAAACTTTTTCCTCCAGATACCGGTCCCTCAAATTTTTAATCATAAATTTACTCAGGTGCTCTAAAATTGAAAATTTGTGATCATAAATTTACTCGGATGCTCTAAAATTGAAAAACATCATCGATCCTCATTCCCATTCGAGCTAGTTCAAATACTGCCAAGAATGTATGTTGTTGCAGTTAATAATTTGAAACGAGTAGTGCGATAAGATTCTTGTATGGAGCGCTTAGAAATGGACTTTCTCAAGTCATTCCAATAGCAGACCCAAGAACATCAACAATGGACTAGAGCTCCATCTATTAAAAGCAGCTTTTTCCCAATCGCCAGCAGAGCAACTAGATCTATCACTCACATAGATATGGGTAATCACCAAAGGATAAAAACACTCTCATTTGATAATCAAACACAATAAATCAAATATGCCGCACGATTAAGCTTCAACAATTTTCAATCAAAATGGTCCTACCATTGCAAAAAATAAATCTTTGAATAAGGGTTCAAGCATGTCCCGCTCTCGACCACAAATCTATGGATCGCAGAAACATTAAGCAGCTAACTAAGGATGATGCAAGATTCTGAAGGCCATGCAACAATTTCCCAGTATCCACTCAACTTTGGGGGAGTCTGCAGCAACAAACCATAATATTACTTCGCCTTCACCAAAAATCCTTCCATTAATATATCATACAACAAATAATAACAGAATGAAAACAATAAAGGCCGAAAAGATATTTGTAAACCCATTATAGCAATGATGGCACAGATTGCAAGAATATTTTCTATAAGGACCCTTGTACTGTGTGAACCCAAATAAATGATAAAAGCAGTGAATTAATAATGGTAAAACCATCAGGAACGCGTCAAGTACTTAAGACTTGCTGAAGATAGAATATCCATCAGATAATTCATGAATCTAGACATTTTTAATCTATCAGAGGACACTGGCAACAATTTGATGCACTCCGAGAGTACCATGATTGTCATAAACACGCTGCAGCAGTGGCATTGTGCATTAAAGCACTTAATAATGACCTAGAAGTACAACAATTCAACACGACCATGGGCATGTCAAGATAGTTAGGACCTCGAGCAACATGTTCTCTCTTTCTCAATAATTGGCTCAGACTGGCATTATTGGCACATCCAACAAGCAAATACAGCAAACAAAAAAGAAAAAAATAGGCCCAGAAAATAAGAAAAGAAAGGGTTTTGGTGGCTACTTGTTGATAAGCACCATCACAAAAGAGAGGCATCCATGAATAGAGGAGATCACCAAGCTGTACACTTTTCACCACAAAATGGGAGACAGAAAACCAGTTCTGTTCCCAAATTTTGGTGCATCCAAATGGGGTCTTTAAGACTAGGCAGTGACTGGCAAAGTGAAAATAGCAACACAGATCACCGCATGATCCAGAGAGCATTATACAAAAAGAATCCTGCAGTCTAGATACTTGGAACCCCACGTATTTGCACAAAACCTTGTTTTCCTAAAAAGCATACAGAGCATATCAAATAATCCAAAGGAAGACTAACTGCCATAAATACCAATTGATCGGCAAGCTTGACCTGAAACCATTAGTATCTGTTGCCTATGATGCGTTTTAGGAGTAAAAGATGTACGTATTGGAAACAAGTTATAGGTGGATACCATTAAGATATCAGACAATACCCCAACCTTCATGTTCCAAAGACATGCATGAATGGAGCAAATAATATATCCAACCCTCGTCACTGAACATGATATGCAATGTCTGAGGGACCCACTAAAATGTAGACAAAGAAAGCAAACAAACTCCCATTCAGAATCACCTACAGCCTGAGTTTTGAAAAGGGTAAAAAAAGACAAGCCGCAAATTGAGAATATGAACCCCAAAAAGATCCACCTTCATGTTCCAAAGAATTGCATGGATGCAACAAATAAAATATCCCACCTGTGCTCACAGAACATGCCCCGTACCGTATGAAGAGACTAAGAACAGGTAGACAAAAGAAAGATAATAAAAGGCCAAGCTACAAGGTTGAGAATAAGACCCCTACATAATCCATAGTGACTTTAAAGTTTTAGAACATACTTCCTCATTCATGCAAAAAAAGAAAAACCATCTATATGGTGAGGCAAATAGAATTTTTTGAACACCTCCTTCACTCCTAAAACAAGTAGCAAAGAGCGAATACTAACAGAGACCAATGCAAACACTGTCCATGACGCACAAGACAAAACCCATTGGAAACAGATCATCCACCTCGTATAGAGAATACCAGTAACATTGAAGACCATAAAACATAAAAGACTAACTAAAACAAAATACATGAAATAGAAACCCAAAAAAAATATGGATTAGCATATATAAATATGAAAAAAAATTATTTACTGACTTTTGCGAGTGGAAATGTTACCTTGGCTACTATGGGCATAGAATACCAAAAAAATGTATCCTATTTACACCATCAAGTTAATAAATAAAAAAGCAATCCCACAGGTATACATAATGTTAGAGACTATGCAATGCCTACGAGAGAAAATGAACAGTATTTTCACCCATAGGCTCGCGCCGTCCGATTTTTTGGACAGCGTGAATTAAAAGACTGCAACAGACCTACAGACATAGCATGTCTGTGGTGGTATTTTTTCATGCAAAAAAACACGGGAAACCGCCACGGCTCCCACAGATCCATAGCGGTTTTAAGGCAAAACCGCAAACGAACATAGCATGTCCGTGGCAGAGCAAAACAATACTCAATTTCGCCTATAGGCATTTTTAAGAGTTTTCCATACATTTCCATACATCTATATAACTATCTTTTTATGCATTGAAATATGAACAAGGATTATACATTATATTTTTAATAGAAAATAATACTTTTGCAACAATTCAAGTATGGTAGAGGCATAAACAACCATCGAAAAGCTAATTGCCATCATCAAATTCAATATTTAATATTTTTTTAATTGAATTGAAGTTTTGGATTCAATAGGTAACAAAATATTCAAGGTCAAATGAGCTCGAGTTGCAAAACCAAGCAAGAAAAGGGGGTTGGACGAACATTAATTTGATATTACAAATGTTGCAATTCGATAGTTTGAATTTTTCATTTTGAAAGGTATTCTGAAGCTTTTATGGGAAATTTATCAAAATACCGATGATAGGTGAAGTATTTCACATTTTCCTCATCTTGTTTGATTTAATTCCAAAATACCCGTAAAAAAGACACATGATCATGAGAAGAAAGAGATGCAAATCATAGGTATTTGATGATTTTCTCTTTTAATATGTATTTTGAAAGGACGAGAAAGAAAGGAGGACCAGATTTGCAAACCCAAACCCCCCCCCCCCCCCCCCGGGCCGGGGAACACTATTTACATCTAAAAATGTGCCGGACTCAGTGGATTCCAACACAAAACCCCAAGAGTAACTGGTTTGGAATACAATAGGGTCCCAACCATGTTTGGCCCCTCTGAAACTGGCAGGCACGCTCCGGATTCACGGATCAGAAAATTACCACTTGAGATTTGAGCATGCAGTATATTTTGGTCAAGAAGAGCAAAAAATATCAATCAAACTCAAACCACAATTACCAAGATGACCTAACCTAGGTGGCAATTCTGTGCTCCAGGAGAGGAGAGGTATCTTCAAGAAATCTCACTTTTTAAATTTTTGGATCTCAATCCCCACTTGGGAGCAATCCCAACCTTTTGAAGATTACAGCATTTAAGATCTATATGATTTAAATAGTCTAGTCTTAAAATAGTTCCATTGTTTGAGATTACACTGTTTAATTCTAGTCCTTACTGGAAATTGTGAAATTAAACAGTATACCCTAATTTCTTGCACTATTCCAAAAGGCTGGCAGTGAGAGCCCCAAAAGTTTAGGGCCAAGATCCCCAAAAAGGTTGGATCGAGATCCCTAAAACAAGTATTTGTATTGATGGCACACCATACCATAGGGTTCTTCTAACCCTTCACGATCCTGCCTTTGATTCCTGTATTGCTTCTGATCTCTCTCCTCATTCCAACCACTATGGCTCAAATCATAATCAGGATTCAGATTATGAACTTCCAAGCAAGGTACATGCAATCATGCTCAAAAAGAAACAAAAATCGTCGCCAGGTTGCCTATCTATGCACATTTCACCTTGAATGCCTTTCTGTACCTAAACTTGGAACCCAAACTTCAACATACATGGATTACAGCATACTTCCCATAAACTAGTCGGAGACTGGCACACTAAATGTTAGATATTGCAGCACTCAATTTTGTCCAGATGCTACCAAACCCCCTATACATCCCAAATATAGAACAACACATGTCGCAATACTTAAACATGTAGGTTTTACACACCTCAAATATTGAAAAGGCACCGACGTTTTTCTTTTATGACAAAAAAGCCTTCAAAATTTTAAACACTATGGTTTTACTGTGGATCCAATAATTGAATGAAATTATCCGTCAGACTAAAACTGAATGACAGTAAAGAGCAAAAAATGAACAATACTAAGTAAAACAAAACACACATAAAAATGGAGAAAAGAATCAAAAAATAAATAGCTCAAACAATGTCACTGCATTGTAATCAATAGCCTGTGATGTAGAGATCAACACTTAAGGCTTTTGTGATGAAGAAAAGAAAAGAAAGCTTTGTTGACATTTTGTGGACTGCATTTTCCCTTTGGTATTTGCAGGGGTATTTTGGGCAATTTTTCTCTATAATGGACTTTTATGGAATTTACAAGAAAGCCAAGGGGTTCCATTTTAATTTTGAGCATAGGAAAATTAGGAGGGAAAGGCTAGAATTCGAATTTAAATTTTGCTTAGGAAGAGGTATTGTGCATGGGCACTATGTCCATTAATACTACTAGAAACTTCAATTGTGCATGGCTTGGGAAAAGGTATTTTGCATGACTTGGAAAGCTAAGAGAGAGCTTTGACTTAGAAGCCATGCCGACTTAGAAGCCATGCCAAGTCTACTAAAAGAGGAAGTCCTTACCCTGCTGGAATCAATGTATTTTGGTGTAAAATTCCAGAAATCAAGAACTGAGTCCCCAATTTGGGGTGCCCTAGGACCCTCTTACAAACCATTGAAGCTAGGCTTTGTTAGCTTCAATGCATTGTCTATGAATCACAGTTAAAATCCCTTGGGGCCGGTTTGGTTCCTTGGAAATGGGCCAGTATGTCCTGTTTGGTTCCCAAAGAGGACAAAATTGACATTTCTTGGGGATTCCTATATTCTCATTTTAAGGGCTCGTTTGGTTCCTTGGAAATGAGACTCATGAGGAACTGTGTATCCTGGAATTGGCATTTCCTGAAAGATGGGTGTATGCCAGTGGTTTAAAAAACGGATCGGTGCCCCGGATCGGGCGCCCAAAAAACCCATTCCGACGACAATTCGGATCTGGAATCGATCAGATTAAGCCTTAAAAAAAATCCAAAAAATTTATTAAAATTCATTATAAATGTTGTTTTTTAGGAATCCAATAAGAAATGGGGGTACTACATTATTAACTTTCATTTTTTTCATCAATTTACGAATATTGAGATGTTCTTGCCCTGTATGACGTATGTTAACCATTAAATTTACATCACACAAAAAAAAATCATAGAATTATCATAGATAAAGTATACAATCATACATGGACTACAATAACGAATGGATT